GAATGCAATTTAAATCAGGTTGGTCATGATGTTAAAACTTTTATTATATTTATTAATAAATTACACATTTTCACTAATTCCCGCTGGCTCGGTGACCTAATGTGAGCTTAGAAACTGCACAAAATATTTGAAACTTTACGTTGAATTCGCTGAATCAAATTAAAAATTGCATTTTTATAAGACATCTTTTTTATCGCAATTTTGAAAATTCTTCAAAAAAATTCATGATTTCTGATATAAAAATAAATAAATCAGTGGCGTGGTGCCTTTTTGATCATTTGTCAATCTAGTAGGTGATCAGCCTCCTGTGCCTGTGCCGTCGACTTTTTAGTTCTAAGGCAAGCCGGTTTCCTCACTGTTTTCCTTCACTATTCAAGCGAATGTTAAATGCGCACATAGAAAGAAAACCCATTGGTGCAGAGCCGGGCTTTTCTGACATAAGCAATAGTAATAGTTTCCAAGCAATTCCATGCATTTGTCGGGGACAATAATATAATATTAACATGTCGTTGGCTCGTTATGTTTGCGTTTGTATATTTGAAACCGATTTAAACTGAACTTTGCCGTTTTTTTTAGCCGTATACTGAATTCAGCGAATATTTTTAAATAACATAGTTATAACATATTTCTTTAATTAGGGACATCAGCATATTAGTCTCATTTCATGGTTACATAAACCAACACACTTTTACTAAATTTAGTTTTTTTTATGTTACAGAAGGCAAACGGGCAGGATGGACATTCTCAATGCCAGTGGGCTCGCAATTGCGATGCCGGTCTTTTAAGAATTGGTACGCACTTTTCTTGAAGGACCCATAGTCGAATTGGTTCGGAAATACTTTAGAGGGCAGCTGGTTCCACATAGTGGTGGTGCGCGGCAAAAACTGCCTGTATTCTGCCTCGATGTCCGACGATGAAACTCAGCTCCAGGTATTAGTCCGAACAACTCTGAACACTCTTAATGGTAAATGCGGTAGAAGATGCAGAGATCCCAAATCAATACGCAACACCAAGGGATCAAGCCGCTTGGTAAGTTACTGGTCGTCGATGATTCGAATCGCTCTTACTTAAAATATTAATAAAAAACTGCAGTCTATACTCAAATTAATAAAAAAATATCGAGTTAAAAAACACTTTAGTTTAGCTTTACAAGAGTTTGGTTTAAGAAAGTCGTCAGAATGTGTTTGTATCTGTTTAAAAAGTTTTATTTAAATACACCAAGGACTTATAAAAGTTACTAAGTCAACTTTAATGACATGGACGACGGACTATCCAATATTTTACTATCTGATTTTCCTCTATGGTATCGGATTAAGTGACTCAAACCTAGACGTGTCATAGAAAACGCAAAACCAGTACCAAACCATAATCTAGATTGACAGCATCGTATCTCTTTGATGTCATAATTTTTTTGCCAAATGTCAACAGTACATGTGACGTTGACAGATTATCTTACCTCTGATTCATAGACGTTTTATTTGTCATTCCACTTTAGGCCTTTTGCACCACAACTCAAAGTTTATTTTTATATGAAAGATATCGCGGTTCGAAAACATGTACCACTTTAGAATGAACTCCGATTGGGAGATTTTGATTCTTAAACGGGGTTCAGATTATAATAGCCGTGATTTTTGATAAGGTATAGTTGGTTGGACCGTTAATAGGTAGGCTCTACAAGCAGGATATGTTTTGATACACTTGTGAGGTGCTTGAACTTAGGACATTTATGTCTGCGTCCGGTTAATGATCATTTGTCAGTAGGCAGCTGCAGCTATCTGTGCCTGACATACCTCGTAGATTTTTAGGTCTAGGGTGATTGATGATTATGTGTATCCTGTTCCAATAAACAAAAGTCAGAAGTCAACATTTTTTTTATTCATATAGGTAACACAATGTACACTTATGAGCGTCAAAAAAGAAATATACATTTACTGCCAGTTCTCAAATCAAGGGCGTAGAACGGAAGAGAAGAACTGGCAATAAACTTTTAATGCTTTTCTTACAAAAACCGAAAGACACACTTAAATGAGACATCATTATATACATATGTATATTCTACAATAGACACCCATATTAGTCGGTGCGTGGCCGGCTTTTGAGTGAGGACTACGCTCATTTCTTAAATGCGTATCGTATCTCCATGGGAAAACTTCCTCTGGTAGCCGATTCCACAATTCGTTAGTTCGCAAAAGGAAATGCCTAATGAAAGCGGACTGTGGAACATTTCCAGTCACCTTTAATATTAGGTCCTCAGAAGTTAGCGTTTTTTTTAGGAATTCCAAATCAAATTTTCCTATTTATATGATTGGCTTGGCCGTCATCTTTTTCTGTTTGTCACTCATTTTACAAAATGGAAAACTTTAAAGTATCGCATTATTTAGAAGGTTGGGATGTGGGAAACTCGAGGGTGATGATGTATGGCGGTCATGTTGCAAAAGAAAACACAGTTCGTTTTGGTTCCACGTTTTCGTTCTGGAAATTTGACCTGCAGAACAAGCCGGAGGCCTGAACCCAAGTTGATAATGAAGTATTGAAGGCTATTGTGGAACGGATCTATCGCAAACCAGTCCGAGTTAGCTGCAGGCTGCGGTGTTAGTGAAAAAACTGTTTTAATTCTCTCAAATTGGGAAGATTAAAAAGCTCGAAAAATGGGTACCTCACGAATTGACTGAAGCAAACCGGCAAACGCGCGTCGACTGCTGCGTTACATTACTGAACCGGCACAATAATGAAGGTATTTTAAACCGAATCATTACCTTGATGAAAAATGGATTCTTTACGATAATTGGAGTCAGGAATGGTGATTGGCAGCCAGCCAAATCCTGCACCAAGCGAAAATTAACCCCAAAAAAGTTACTTGTAAGCGTTTGGTGGACTAGTGCCGGTATTGTTAATTGCAGTTTTCTCAAATCTGCCCAGACTATTACGGCTGATGTCTATTGTCAGCAATTGCAAACCATGATGGAAAAGCTAGCGGCTAAACAACCTAGGCTGGTCAATCGCTCCACGCCACTGTTACTTCACGACAACGCTAGACCACACACTGCACAACAGACAGCTACCAAATTAGAAGAGCTTCAATTGAATGTCTAAGACATCCTCCGTACTCCCGGACCTTGCTCCAACAGATTACCATTTTTTCGAAATTTGGACAACTTTTGAGGGAAAAAATTTACTATGGGGCAGTCCAAATCGCCTTCACAGATTTTATTGATTCCGTCCGACTGTTTTTTAGTAAAGGGATAATAACTACCTTAGAGGAAAATGATAGAAAACAATGGTTATACTTTAATTAATTAAATATATTATATTTAAAAAATATTCGACTTTTTGTTCCTCCCATACAAAACGCCAATTTCATATGGGCCTAATATTTTTAATTATTATTATTAATGACCCCGAAGCCATTAATAATGCTTATTATTTTTAAAAGCAAAATGTTGTTTGCTATTTGTCAGAAGTCATAGGGTTAACTGTAAAATATCACTTTTGGTAATTACAATCTTACCACGAAATATGTACAAAGAGGGAGACATTACTCACGGAGAGCAGACGGCAGAAGCTTGACTCTCAATGCTGAGGTGATGATTTCGAACCGAATACCTTAAAACCAAAAATTTTCAGTGTCTGCCAGGCTCAGAAGCCTTGTCTTGCCTATTGCGAATGAAATCAGGAAAAAAATACAAAAGTCTATAGTTGAACTTAGCTACGATTTTTCAACGGAAAGTCCATTTGACTTTAGCATTAACAACATAACGGTAATGTCAATTACATTTGAGGATAAATTGTTAAACGATTCGCTGAAATCAATTGAACTTCTTAGAATGTCAAAGAAAACTTAATAGCTTGTTGAATTGTATACTGATCTGTTGTATTGTTCCATTAAAAACTTAAAAAGCTAAAAGTTGAATTATTTTGAAGATACAAATTCTGCCGAACCTATCGCTTGTCACGTGACCGTTTAGAAATTCGATTGGTTCGACACGTGCCTTAAGAACATTTGTCTAGGTACCAAGGGCCGAGTTTATTCTATGAAAAACAAATTAATAATCATTTCCCATTTGTCTGGGGCTGATTTAAATCTATGAAAAACAAATGAAGAATCATTTACTACAAACAAGTGAATTTACGACGTGGACACTACATGATCCATTGATAAAATGTAGTTTGCACAATTTAATATAGAAAGCTGTGAAACAGGCCTTCACGGATATTTTTAGTGAAAAGTTATTAAACGGGACACGCACGATACACCCATATTTTTAAACTAACATCAAGATGTTATATATTATTGGCGAGTCTTTGCTTAAAATACTTCAAAGCTAAGTTTATTTATATTGTATAATTTCCTTCCCTCTTTTTTTTAAAATGAAATATCGCTATTAGCCTTAAGGGCCATTACAGCTCAGCTCGGGCTGTTTGGGCGAGCGTATCGGGCGGAATGGGCGTTTTTCCCGCGACTAGCGCAAGCCGCAAGGGCGTCTCCTGCGACTTGGAGCTCGGCTTGGGTCGTGGGGTGGTCAATCGCCTAAAAGGTAGGACGGAAGCTCACTGGAGTGAACAAAGTACGAACTAAAGGTCCACGCCATCCCCGGTGGAGGCGGTTTTTTACTCTAATCTGAGTTTGAAAATTATTTGCCGCGATCATCCGGATCCGTTAGGACATGTACATAAAAAGTTTCTATGGGTTTAGTATACAACAGAAGCAGTGTTACCTAATGGTTAAGCGAAGGATTCTAAACCTTTGCTTTGTCCCAATGGATTTTTCCTTTCACCTTTTCTCAAATGAGGTAAACCGAGTAGCAAGAATTATGGAGTTAGATCTTTCGTTTCGTTGAGAAAATTATTTCTCAACGAAATATTTCCATTAGGAAATATTAATATTTATTTATTTGTTTTGATTAACAATTGTAACTTAGCAGTAAGTCTTTTTTATGGGACAGGAGGTAAACTGCGGACAAGTGACCTACTCACTTTGAATAAACTGATACCCACCGCCCATGGACAACTGCAACGTCGGCAGCCGTTGTGTTGCCGACCTTTCAGAGGACAAAGAATTGGTACGCAGCAGGAAGTGCCTTAAAAGCGCTGTGTCCTGTGTGGATGCCAGGCGTCGAGATGTAGAGGATAGAATTTTGCATTCGGCCTCGACGTCCCATGATGAGTTTCGACCGATGAGGTCTGATCAATTCTTCAGAAGCCAGAGTATGTACGTTTTCCTCACATACGAGGTTGCAGAGGTTGATAACACCACCTATTAGATTACCACTGAAATACAGAAATTTATTAAAACGCATACAAATCAACACAAACTTTGGTTATATATAAAAAATATATATATAGGTATGTATATATAAAAACTGCTCAATGCTCTTACTATGTTATATTAGTCGAGCATAGACTAAAGCCAGTCTTATTCAATAGAAACTCTTTTGAACTTTTGTTTTGGAAAAATTAAAACAAACTTTATACAAAGAACTGTCAAACGCACACAAACAACCGCGCTTGAGTCGACTTTTCGGAATTAAAGCGGAGTTAAGGCATAAGCGCAAAAAGAAAGCAATCGCCGTCAACTGTTATTACATTTAAAAAAACTAAAAGAGAGCATGTCACATGTCATGGCCCTTAATAAGGAGCCCCGAAACCCGCCAATTACTCGTTACATCGGTTGCCATGGCAACTGCTCCAGTACAAATAATTGGCCCAAGTTCTGATAACATCCGAGGTGTTTGCGCACTGCGGGCTTTAATAACTATGAAATACACACATATCATCCTCACACAGACTAAGAATTAGAATGTTAAAAAAGCATTGATGATTGACTTACAGTCCTATGCCCCAGGTGGAGCAGATGGCATCCAGCGTAGAAAACCAGCTTGATCGGCATATCATTCACGTCATTCCAGCTTCCGTCGCCTCTTCAATGCTGCTTAGTTGCCAAGTCTGTTCTGGGCGGCCACGTTTCCTTTTTATATTCCTTATTATTATTTCCTTTCAAAGTGATATAATAATCATTATTAAAATAAATAAATCAGTGGGGCTACCTTTCTAGTCTGGGCCTCAGATTTCTTTCTGTATATGTTTCTTGATCATTCGTCAATCTAATAGGCAAGTATGTGATCAGCGTCCTGTGCCTGACAGCGTCGACTTTTTGGGTAAGCCGGTTTCCTCACTATGTTTTCCTTCACCGTACAAGCGAGTGTTAAATGCGCACATAGACAGAAAGTCCAGTGGTGCACAGCCGTGGATCGAACCTACGACCTCAGGGATGAGAGTCGCACGCTAAAGCCACTAGGCCAACACTGCTCTTACAATTATTATTAGTCTCAGTAATAGTGCGGCTATACCTCCAATACAAAACGAATTTAGTTGAAACGGTATGTAAAAAAAATGCATAGAAAAAGCTTTATACGCAGAAATTTCTCCCCAAAATAAACCTATAAATCTCACGCATCAGTGCGGTAATACCCCAAACGACATACTTGAATGCATTTCACCTGTACTTATTTAGGATTCAAAGACCCCACGGACTTGAATTTGTCTCTTTCCGTCTCTGTGCGTTAGAGTGAGAGAGATTGAATATTTGAACCTCATCCATCATATTTGGCGGGAATACAAGATAAGGTTGTTTTTCATGTAATTAGTGGGTTTAATAGGAATAAAAATATTTCAAGTATTTAATTAATGCAAACACTTATGCCATGTAAAATATATGTATAATATTATTTCAAACTTATTGGCGAAAAGAAAATTCTTGCATAATTTTTGTTCGGAATGCAGGTGAATTATATAAAATAAACAATTTTATGAATGAAATGTTTTGGAAGGTTTAAATTCATTTGTATGTTTTTCGATACCGTGTAGTGTTTCTGATATAATAAAAATTAATAATTTAAAAAACACAAATTTAGACCCAAAAAGTCGACGGTGTCAGGCACAGGAGGCTGATCACCTATTAGACTGACAAATGATCATGAAACCGATACAGAAATTTGAGGCCCAGACCTAAAAAGGTAGCGCCACTGATGTATTTATTTTTATATAATAAAATGGGACAACTGCCGTGCTGTCTCAATATCATCTTTCCCGAAGCACTACTTCTATACTACTACTAGTATTAGCTCAAATTTATCGTCATAGTCTTATAATAGTGACGGATCTGACAAATAGTAAACTTTACAGGGCAGCTATTTCAAATAATATAATCATGTTAGTTTTTGTCATAACTATTTTAATTCTTATTCTGTTATTATGAAAATTGGCATACAAGCAAACAAAAGGGTTTGTTTTGAAACAAAATAAAAATAACAACATTAAATTACACAGTTTTTTAGAAAAATCTTTACCGACTGATAAATTTGAAATTTAAAACACATGGAATTTTTTTTAATGAGAGCATATTTAGTCAATGTAGTATCCAAATATGATAAAAAGTGGATTTTGGATTTGATTCAAATTTGACACTGTTCTATGATCATGTTATATTGTACCGTCGTTACAGCCTGTTGACATTCACTGCTGGACATAGGTCTCTTACCTAAATTTCCAGTAAGGCCGGTACCTCACGCTTTGCATCCAACGCCATTCCTCCACCTATATGTGTATGAATTTAGATAGATAATAAAGATATTAATTTAATCAGTATTTAAATTTTACATATACGAACAATACCTCATAAAATCATGTTAATAAATATTAAACATATGTATTATGTACATAGCAACCGCAAATTGATTTACGCAAATCGAATGGAATAATAATTCGTCCTACATTTTTTAAATTATAATATATACGCGCTTCTCGCTCGACAATTATTTGATTTACTACTGGTGGTATAATAATTCTTAGATTGAATAATAGGTGCTTGGTAGTTTCAATATACAACACTTAGCCAAGATTATGGATTCAAATCCCGGATAAATTCTTTGAAGTAGGTAGTGTGATTAAATAAAATAAACTTTAAATAAATATCAATGACTCAGAAAAGCCTCAAAGGAAACAACAAAGAATGAACACTCGGTAGATCTGTTTTTGAATTTTGATAAAGTAAAAATAGTTCACTATTTAAAGTTATAGAAAGATAAATATATGTATGGGATTGCATTGAACGCAAATTGTGCTGCATGCAATTGTTCCATTGATAAATTTCCTTTTTCTACTTTCAGTCAAACCAGAAATAATCACAGAGGTCTTTCACCCGTTCGTGGGTGGCCTTCTGGCAGATACTACAGTAAAAACTTTATAGTTTACTCGTCATTCACGAATTTAAAAAGTATTTTCAGTTTCAAAATTGTATTTGAAGAGAACGTGTCACTTTACTTTGATGACTAGTGTATCACGGATAATAATAATTATAAAAGCCTTTTAGTTGCTTTACATTAAAATACATTTATCTTTCTATCACCTCATTCATTCCCAGGGATCTGTGCCCCTTTTTAGGCGAAGGACTCCTCCGAATCCCGCCATTTCTGTCTGCACTGTGCTACTCTCTGCCTTGTACCACCTGCTGTTTCCTTGATCTGGTCTACCCACCTTCTAAATTTTCTTCTTCTGTGTTTATTGCACCTTGGGCGCCAGTTTTATACTTTGTTGTTCCATATTTCTGTTTCTCTAGCCATGTGCCCATTTCCATTTAATTTTGATTTATTTAATTCCGCCCATTTATGTTTATTTATTATCTTTTAATTACCATCTTTTATTTTTCATGACTTCTCTAAACGCCCAAATGCTCTAGCTTTTGCTATTCTTGAGTTAATTTCTTTTATTATTGCATCGGTCATATCTGACCGTGGTACGAGATTCGCCTACATATATAATACTGTTCCTTAATAGTTGAATTGAAAACTGAAATTGGTCATTACTTTGGATTCTCGGCGTTCATTCTTTTCATATCAAGGATAAGTTGGGCAAATGGCTGGAATCAATAATGGCCGCTTTTTTAGTATTAGAACTAAAAGTATCTATAGAACTTTAGAATGAAGTGAGTTTTGACAATGTATGACTTTCGCGTTGAAAGACAGCAGCCTTGCGATTCTGTAACTCACATTTCGAACTCTCACATCGGTTTTCGCAGCGGCGGTCGCGCTCAAATCAGACGTTAAGTAGTCATTTTACGATTTGGCATTCTGATAAGGAGGGTTGTAGTTTATTGTTTGGGGCAGGTTGGGATGCAACAGTTTGGAGGTTCTATCCACCAATTACGGGTTATATATATATAAATAAAATAAATCAGTGGCGCTACAACCTCTTTAGGTCTGGGCCTCAGACTTCTGAATCTGTTTCATGATCATTTTTCAATCTAATAGGCAAGTAGGTGATCAGCCTCCTGTGCCTGACACACTGTCAACTTTTAGGGTCTAAGACATGTCGGTTTCCTCACCATGTTTTCCTTCACCGTTCGAGCAAATGTTAAATGCGCACATAGAAAGAAAGTCCATAGGTCGCACGCTGAAGCCACTAGGCCAACACTTCTGTATACATCTCTGACGGATTATATATACCTAAGCTAATAAAGATGGGCCGAATTTTTCCAAAATCGGTTAACTTTATTACCTGTTAAACAAACAAGACAAAAAGACTGCATTAATTTGCATGAGTTTCCCATTGGCGCGGTGTTTGGCAAAAACTTTGAGATCAATCACGTCGGTGATCGGGAACAAGTTTTTGGGGTCGATAACCGGGCCGCATTTTTCGGCAACTCTTATGTAGGTGTCATACGATACGTTCGCTTAGGAACAGTGCTGCAAGATAAAACGGATACAGACGCGAAACATTTACATAACTCGTCGTTTCAATTATTGTGAAACGTCTTAGGGTCCTTCAAGAAAAGAGCGTACCAATTCTTAAAAGCTCGCGAGCCCTCTGGTATTAAAATTGTCCATTGGCGGACGGGCAGGACCCATCTGATGTTAAGGTATACCGCTGCTCATAGACACTAACAATTCTGGGCTGGTAAATGCGTTGCCGGCTTTTTCAGAATTTTCTAGACGGTTTTCTAGAAGTCTAAGCCTAAGTCGATACATAACTGACTGATAATTAAGTTGATTTAAGCGCAGAGTTTAACCCCCCAGAATACGAAGCGAGTGCGTGTTGAGTGTCCCGGTGGTAAAATTAAATACAGAAAGCCTGTCTCTACTTTTTCTTCTGCAACTACATATAATAATATTGGATTTTAAAGTATTATAACAGCATATGGACCACTTTAGTAATATAATATAAATATATACACTGTATGTAGATATATTTTACTAACCCTTCTAAA